ATATTTACTATTATTGAGCTATGAGGATTCTGAGTCCTGAGGCAGATACATACAGCTGAACACAGCAACATGCAGACACAAGCTATAGGACACGTGACGTAAGTCTTGCTGAGAAAAGGAGAGGCCATGTGCACCTCCTCATCATCCACACTTGAACACGCAGGTAATAACACAGAAAGTGGCATCACTTCCAACACATTCACGTGTGTGAGACATCCACATGACAAGTGTTAAGACAGATCTATACCAAAACAACAACAACAAACAACTGGACAAAGTCTAGTTGGGAGGAAAACAAGTGATTTTGCTTTTGTGGCATGTAAAACCAGCTTCATTACTTATCATCACACACAGATGAGAAAACAGCTCTGGACAAAGATAGACAAATTCACAATAAAAGTCACAGACATTCAAATGCTCTTCTCCTAGGTAGCTCCCCTGCCCCAATTCCATCCACCCACTATGTCCTCACCATGTCGAGCTTAGACTGTTCTAATGCCTTTTTAGCTGGTGTTCCTGCCCTTTTATAATCAGTCCCACACTTTGCCAGATAATCTTTTTTTAAGACAGAAAGTACAGCATGTCTTCTTCTTGCTCAGCTCTTCAATGGCTACCTATTTCCTTAAGGATGATGTTTAAAATTCTTTAGCTGGAGGTCAACACCCTCCACAAAACTTGGCTCCCAAACACTTAAACTCTCTGATCCAGTCATATTCCTGCTCTCCCTACATTGTGAATGCTGCTATTTAGTATCTTGCCAGTGTTCATTTGTTCATGCTGCACACTCTTTCTAGAATACTCTCAACATTTTCTGCCTACCTGAATGCTTGCACGTACACGTCTTCTGTCCCTTACTACCGTCCTCAAGGGCATTGGCCATGCTATATCCCCTACTCCCCTACGTCAGTGCCTAGGCAGAGGAATAGGCGCTGGACAGGTGTTCAAGAAATGTCTAACAGTAAATAAACTCCTAACAGTTTAACTGGAGTTAACAGCTCAGAATAAATCCTGTTCATTAGACCAATTGTTAAATGTGAATATTTTAGATATTTTAAGAAAGGCAGTGTTGGGATCAGAGGCAGTATATTATACTGCTGGAGACCCTAACTTTCTTTGTGTCATGGATCCCTTTGGCACTATTGTAAAACCTGTAGACCTGTTTTTTAGAGCAATGGTTTTAACCACATCAAATAAATAGTACTACAAACCAAACAAATGATACTGGAATATTGTTATAAAAATATTTAATAAACAAGGTTATGCACCTTAGGTTAAGACACCTTAGCAGAAGAGATAGAAGGCTGGCTTTTCAGTCAGGAAAACCTTGCTTTAAGACTTTCCTATGTTGGCTAAGTTGGGGAGAAGGTGCTGACTTGCAATTATTGAGTAAATTTCATCATTTTGGAGTTTCTTAGCCCCAGTGAAATGACTGTCTAGTGCCTGACCCCATGTAGCACCGCCCAGTGCAGAAAGGATCAGCTTTGTAGTCAGGAAGCCCTGCCTTGAGCATACTAGCTCTGTGATCACAGGCAAACCACTTACTATCTGTGTGACTTCTGGGGCAAAGCTTTCTGAGCCTCACCGTAAAGCAGTCCTCACTTACAAAATGACCCTAGGATTGTTGTGAAGGTCAAGGGATGAAACTGACAGCAAGATCTTTTAATGACAACGATAATAATAAAACCCACTGGAGAAAAGCTGACCAACAAAAGGAAAGCAAGGCAGCAAGGCACCTTGGTACCTGGAGAAGCTGGGCAGGAGGACGTGAGGCCGTCAGTCTGGCTGTTGTCTTTCCATCCAATGCTACATTTCTCACTTATCACACTTAAGGAAA